CCATCAGTTACTAGGTCACTGCCTTGTACATGGTGTGTTAATGTAAACTGCTCTACAGAGTATATACAACCATCAGTTACTAGGTGACTGCCTTGTACATGGTGTGGTAATGCAGACTGCTCTATAGAGTATATACAACCATCAGTTACTAGGTCACTGCCTTATACCTGGTGTGTTAATGTAAACTGCTCTACAGAGTATATATAACCATCAGTTACTAGGTGACTGCCTTATACCTGGTGTGTTAATGTAAACTGCTCTACAGAGTATATATAACCATCAGTTACTAGGTGACTGCCTTGTACATGGTGTGTTAATGTAAACTGCTCTATAGAGTATATACAACCATCAGTTACTAGGTGACTGCCTTATACCTGGTGTGTTAATGTAAACTGCTCTACAGAGTATATATAACCATCAGTTACTAGGTGACTGCCTTGTACATGGTGTGTTAATGTAAACTGCTCTACAGAGTATACAGAACCATCACTTTCTTCCTGGTTTGGTAATGATTATTTTGAGGAGCCTTCAGGAAAATGTTTCGTTTTATACAATTTAAAGAAAAGTTGTGATTTCAAATGGTTTGGTTCAGAATTAGTAGTAGAATGTAAATTTGAAACATAATTTTGATTAACGTAAAAATTTGATCTAATAGCCTATTTTAACTATTTGTATTCAAACAAGTTTCTTTTTTTTATATTTGAATATACAGTACACTAATACCTTCTATTCAGCTCCACTGATTATCTAATAGTCCTGTTGTAGTGTATTAGTATTGGTGTCAACAGACAATAAGATGAATCCAGAATGATGTATTAATTTTCTTCTGGCTGTGTTGTTTACAATCCTATAAACTTGGCATTATAGTAATAGCTAAAGTTGATACCAGGTGGCAATGCATACATTATAGACACTGCACCATGATAATGAGGAAAATTATTTCGTGGGGGGGGGGGGTCGTTTCTAAAGAAAACAGTGTTTTAATATTGAAATACTATTAACAAATATTTAAGTTAATTCCTAGATGTATGTGTTCTGTGATATTAAAGAGTTTTAAAAAATACTACAGTTGTATTGAACTTCTTGGAATCCCTGATGGAAAGTCCAGGACTTAATGTCTGTGAATTTGAAAAGAAAACTTGTATTTCATGTCAGGAGGATTAACTGTAAAATTGATGTTTAAGCTCACAACTGTAGGAATCTATATTGAGCAATTGATGTGTTCGAAGGAAAAGGAAGTTTCACAATATAGCCCCCCAGTGGCACAGCGGTATGTCTGCAGACTTACAACGCTAGAATCCAGGTTTCGATACCTGTGGTGGGCAGAGCACAGATAGCCCATTGTGTAGCTTTGTGCTTAATTACAAACAAAAAAATTCACAATATGAAAGATAACGAAACCAAAGATGAACAACGTTGTTTATATATAACAGAAGGGGACGCAGGTGAACTTTTCGGAATTCTACAGATTCCATTTTCAGTATATAAAGAAAAATAAAATAATTACATCATTCTTAAATAAATAACTAAAATACATTACTACATTAACAATAATTTAATCAAAACTAAAACATATAGAAAATAGACAGTAACACAAATATTGTACATATTAAATAATGTGTAATTTAAAAAAAAAACTGCATGTTATTCATATAGAGGGTTTCTTTAATCACTAATTCTAGATCTGTGTTGGCCTTTCAAAGGATATTGAAATTTGATAAGTCCATGTCCTGTTGGGGTACAGATGAAGCTCAGAGATTACTTAAATGTTTACCTGAATTCACAACATCCAGCCATTAAATTCACATGCGAGATTGAAAATAACAATTTACTTTTTTTTAGACATCTTCATTAACCCTAAGACTAGTAGATTTAGTACACCAATCAACAGAGAATAATGCGTTTACTGGACTCCTTACACAATTTGACAGCTTTATCCCGTTCACGTACAAAATACATCTTATAAAATGCTTATTAAACAGAACTTATAACCTGTGTTTTATGTACACTCAGAGTCTTCTTCCATACAGGATACTTTAAAACATAACGGCTACCCACATTTATTAAAATTATCACTAATAAATTTCTAACCAAGAAATTCACAAATCCACCCAGACTACCAACTGTACCCTAACTCAGTATATACTCTTGTCTTCCATATACTGGTAAACAAGGCTTAACTTCAAAAAGTCAAATTCTTGTCTTCCATATACTGGTAAACAAGGCTTAACTTTAAAAAGTCAAATTTTTTGTCTTCCATATACTGGTAAACAAGGCTTAACTTTAAAAAGTCCAATTAATCCACTGATTTGCCGGCCAGGTGGTTAGGGTACTCGACTCGCAATCTGCGTGTCGCGGGTTCGATTCCCCGTCACACC